CCGTTGGCTGCCTGTGACCAGTGAAGATAAATGATGTTATTGAGGTTTTCCACAACTGCTACACATCCATGAGAACATGTCTATATGCATTGGTGTATGGTGTATGTGGGTGTGTATTTGCTTGTGTGTTTGTGCTGTCATTGTTATCACCTGACTTTTTGCAATTGTCTGTTGTGCTGATGTGAACTGCCGTGACTTTGGACACGTTTTTCATGTTGGTCTACTCACATTCCCCATCATAATTATGTGTTTGACAAAAAATGCAATTAATTTTTATTGAGGATGAAGGTGGCAGGTTTGCATTGCTTTTCAAATGCCGCACATATATCACATGTGGCACCGCCCCCTTTGCCATTTTGGCAAGTCAACGCACACAGAATTTATCGAGCCAGTCTAGGCCCATATATCAGGCGCATTTGTCAGCTACTGCCAGTGGATTGTTTGCACGGATGGTGGATCAAACATCGACTCCAATTGAACTCTGTGATTATTGATTTCTAGTCTGGTATGTACATACAAATATAAATGCAAAACATGTGTCTGTGTCTGTGTGTGTGTGTGTGTGTGCGTGTGTGTGCCTGTTGTAATTTTGGCAATTTAAATGTCATTAAAAACAATCTCCGAAAAAGTCACAAACGATGTGAGAAAGATGGAAGTGGAAGTGTTCAAGTATTTATGCAATTTGTGCCAGCTGCTTGAACAATCATAGCAACAACAATAGCAATAACAAAGGACAACAACAAGAACAACCATAAATGCGACAATGATATGTGCGCTACAGCAAAAAAGAAGCTCTGGATTTTTCAATTAAATGGCAAAATCAATTTTCACTCAAAATTACCATATTTCCATTTAACCATATTTGCATATTTGTAATACAAACCGGGTGCGGTTGGACAACATGAGAGGAGAACGATGGCTTTTGAGTTACACAGGTCAACAGGTGCAAAAAGGTAAATTGCGCCAAATTAAAATCAGATAAGTTGAAATTACTGGCACAGAGCGAAGACCTACACATGAACGTAAAGGTTATAAGAATTAAGGGACGTCATAATAAGCAGCTGTGCCAAAGATATGTGCCCCATATTCAGCCTCTCTGAGCGGAGTTCTCAATACAAACCACAGCCAGAAATGTCAGTTGGCAGTCTCACTTTGAACTACAAAAGCAATTCGAGACCCCCAAGTCAGCATCTTGGCATTTTTGTAGGCACGTGTGAGTTGCTTACAATTACAGACTACCATGTACATACACATGCACACATTTTATTATATGTACACGAGTTGGGGGAGTATATAGGATACTTCTGCCAAATATGCCGATAATTACATTTGCAAAAATTGTTTCCTTTGCCCCTTCAAGGAATGGAGTCCGCACTCATGCGAGGGCTGCTACCAAAATACCAGCACCAAATATATAATTAATAAAATATATGCGTTACGCAACTTATGTATTTTATTAGCACTCTAAATTAATTAAATTAGTTTTGCAAATTAAGTTAAAAAAAAAACAAACAATTTATTAATGAACTAGTATATTCATTTAAATAATCACGGCATAAATTTGATTTAAAATTTGCAACATTTTAAATAAATATTTCAGCTGCATTAAAATTGAATATTTATGTCAAAATATTAGCTAAATTAAAATCATCAACATTTTGATTATTAAATTTGGTCATTAAATTGAAAAGCTAATAAATAATTTAGAGATTGCTGAATTAATAAGCGTACATGCATAAATTAAATATTTATTATTTTTCATCAAATCATTTGAATAAAAAACTTGTATAACATCCCAAATTTATGTTTATAACATTATACAATTATTATTGTATAATTTAATTTATTATCTTATTTTACTACAAGAGACAAACAAGATATATTATTTGCATTTGTTGTTTTGCTTTGATATCTGGCTTTCAGTACTGTAATTTTGATGGCATCCCTAAGTAAATACATACGTATGTATTTGCAAAATGCGTATGTATGCGTTAGCGTACTTGTGCTTTAATTTATTTATACATACTTGGCATGGTCTAGGGAAAGTAAAATTGCCAACTTCAGGCTAATGCAAACACACATGTGTGTGGCTACATTTTGGTATACAAATTACAAAATTATACAAATCAACGTCACACAATTGCTTCAATTTAACCCAGACCACCTACCCCGCCGCCAGGCAGCTGTTTGCTGTACTTCAAGTGTCCCAGTATTAGCACAAAGGATAATGCTGCTGTTACAATTGCCATTGCTGGCAGTTGTAGCGATTGTTGCGAGTGCTGTTTCTGACGATTGCGCTGTGGATGGCAAAGATTAGAGACGCACCAGACGCGCAATCAAAGACAAAGCGTTCTCGACACCTGCACAAATTATGAAGCCCAATTGCAGACAGGCACACACGATATGGCAGTGGTGTGAAACTAAAATGGGGTTGGGAGTGCTCGAGTGCTGTCAGAAAATGGGGGGCGTGCCAGTGGTTGCGTGGCAATTAAGTCATTACCTCAAATAACTGGAGGCGTTCAGCTTCAACGTTTCTATAGGTGTTTTACAAGTGTGCAAACAAAGTGCCTCAGTGGCTGCATAAAGCAGCAGCGCATATAAGTACATGTCAATGTGTGTGTGAGTGTGTGTGTGTTTGCTTGTTTGTCTGCCTTCTTTGAGCTGCAATAAAGGCATGCAAATTTATGTACAGCTTCTGTGTGTGAATGTGTGCTTCTCAGTCGGTCCCCGTCTCCGAGCGCAAACCCCTGGCCAAATTTTTGATAAGCAATTTTCATCGTGCTTTGTGGTTGTTTGTCAGTTTGCATGTGTGTGTGTGTGTGGGAGTTTTCCTTTGGTGTAATGAAATTAACAAATAATTCCTCTCATGGGCTGATTTCAAGTCGTTGGCGTCACTTTGATGGTAATTTGAATGGGACAAATGACATTCAAAGCGATTACAACAAACTCTTATCAGTGCGTCCAGGCGCAGCAGATGAAAGGCAATGAATCACTTGAGACTACAACAATTTACATAATTTGCATCAGCTTACTCGAATTACTCTTTGACTTAACAATATTTTAATTTGTTGCCATTTTATAAACAATTCTAAGAAACTCAAATCTTTTTAAAACGATAGGCTAAAAATTGACAATGGAATTCCAATGCAGCAAACGCTTAAATGTGAAAGGCTTTGAAAAGACTAACGTTATCAGTTGACACAGGATTAATTGCATTAAAAAGTTGACGAAATAATTGTACTTTTACTAGATAATAATTAAATTAATTATCCAACAGAAGCACGAATACAATAAATGTATCAATATTGGTATATGAAAAAAAAGTATAATTCTCTTATTTTATCTTTTAATTAGCCAATTAGCTAATGATTTTTGATACCCTGGCCAATGCACGAAGCGAGTCCAGGTATGCAACATTTAGTCATGAGTAATGTGCCAGTAGAGTTACACGACTCCTCGCTGCGCTTAATAAGGAGCGTGTTGTGCTTTGTTTTGGTTGTGCAACCTCGGCCACACTTAAAGCTAAAGATGCTGCACACTGTAGCTCATCTGGTATTTCTAGTTGTACTATCTCGCTGGCGATTTGCTTTCGATTACGAGCTCAACTATGATCATGTTCATGATAATTTTTCGCGATTCTTCGATTTGGTTAATTTTGTGGTATTAATTGTGGCCCATGGCATAGTCTCTATGGAGTTCCTCTGGAGAAATGACAGCGAACACATTGAGCAGCAACTTTTGCAAATTTATAACATGGCGCGTGAAACTTTTGGTCGCAAATTGAATCACCGACATTTTCGACTTTATAGTAATATAATATTTAGTTTGTTGTTCGTTCGCGTAATTATTTTATTGGGATTTACAATTTATTATAATGTAAATACAAAGAGCGGAATACTGCTCAGCAGTATCTTCTACTCTGAAATCGTGTTGAAGGTACGATGCGCTGAGTTTACATTGCATTCAGCATTTACATTGCAAATCTACCAAGAACTGCATGAGACTGCCAAGAGTCTGCTTCAGGAATTCGAGAGTAATCGCTTTAAGATCTGGTCCCATTTGCCATTTCAACGTTTAGTTACCATTCAACAACTGCATCAACAGCTTTGGAAAACACAACGCGACATCGAGCGCAACTTTGAGCATGGTCTCATCATGGTGATGCTGAAATACTTTATAGACACCTCAATTCTTCCGTACTGGGCGTATGTGAATCGAACAGATGTTGACGATGCTCCATTGCGGTTATGTAGGTTAATTATTTCTATTAATTGTACAGCTTTCCTTGGGTTCAACAATTTTGTTCTGTTCTAGGGTGTGTGGCTGAGGAGATAGCGAAACTGTTGGAGATCTGCATTATGTGTTGGTTCTGCACACGTTGTGATCAGCTGCAGCGAAAGTTTCGATCGCTTTTTCATGGAATATACGTTGATCGTCACAATGAGCAGTTAAATACGTCTTTACTGAGGCTGTCGGCTCAGCTTGGACAAGAAATCTGTCAGATTAGAATTGGTGGCTTATTAACTATTAATAATGCAATGTTATCCAAAGTAAGTATTATTTTAAAGCTCGACTTTTTCTTACTTTATTTCCTTTAGTTTCTAATCGGCGTGACGACCTATACCATCATTTACATACAATTTCGGATTACTTATACAGTAAAATTATTAGGTGGAGGAGCGCAACTGAACGTTTCTCTGGTTTAATAATTTAACAACAACTATTGTGAAAGTTAGTTAGTTGTTAGTTAGTTGTAATAGCCAGCCTGCGCTACCATTTTAATAAATAAATAAAAAGTCTTTCAACTGGTTTTTATTGACACAGCAGGTGCACTTAATCAATCATGTGAAAAATTTCGTTTATTTTGTTTAAAAAATGCATATTGTATTGAATACATGGGCGATAGTTGCCAGGCTGCCAATTAGAATGCTTGACCACTCAATTAGCCAATTAGTGATTGATTGCGGCTTAACCTGTACTGCCAATGTGGCACTCCAGTCATGTGGCATGTGTCCAGCGAATTACACGACGCTTCTCTGCGCTCCATGCGCCGATTAATGCACTTTTTGTTATTACTGCCGCCATGCCCACATTTGCATTTAAAGCTGCTGTACACGTTCGGTTTGCTGATATATATCGTCTTTATACTATATTGGCGATTCAGCTTCAATTACAATGTTGTCTACAATTTTCGCAATGACCATTTCTCGCGCGCCACCGACTTGTTTGCATTTTCGTTGCTGGCCGTCTCCCATTGGGTAGTCGCAATGGAGCTGATCTGGAGGAATCGCAGCGAGCGGATTGAACAGCACCTGGAAAAAATACGCTATGTGCTACGTGTACAGTTTGGGCATAAGGTGAATCTGGTGCGGATTCGTCGCTATTGCCAGAGCCTGCTCCTTCTATTTGAAGTGTCCTGTGTATCGCTGTTGGGAATGGCCATATATAATAATCTTGTAACAGATCTGGTTGTTTTGCTATTGTATGCCGTCTACTCGGAAATGGTGCTCCTAATGCGATTCAGTGAGTTTTCTTTGCACGCTGTACTGATCTTGGTATTCTATATGGAGCTGAATGAGGTCAGCTTCAGGCTGATCATGGAGCTGGACAAGACACAATTTGAGGTGAAATCAGTGCGCCGTTTATCTTTGGAGCGTTTACTTGTTCTTCAACAGTTGCATGGACAGCTTTGGAATACAGTGCGCTCAATTGAATGCAACTTTGAGCTGAGTCTAGTGACCGTGTTGTTAAAGTTCTTTGTGGATGCACACATCTTGCCATATTGGATGTATGTCAATATGCACAATAATATAAATTTCATTATTGTATTCTGTGAGTATCATTATTAATCAAATTACTCACTCTAATTCACTCACTCTTTGCAGATTGTATCACTGAAGAACTTTGCAAGCTATTGGCTATTATCGTGTCCTGTTTGATTTGCACTCGTTGCGGCCGTTTGCAGCGCCAGCTTCGTTCAATTTATCATGGTCTAACCACGGATCGTAGCAATGAGCAACTGAATTTTTATTTATATCGAATCTCATCACAACTGGGCCAGGAGCGATGCCAATTTAGTGCTGGCGGTTTCTTGGTCATCAACAATGAGATTCTGGGCAAGGTGAGAGAATTGATTAAACTCTACTCTGTTTTCTACATGTAATTATGATATTTATGTTTTGATTGCAGTTTATTTTCGGCATGATTAGCTATATAGTCGTTTGCATACAATTTCGCATATCCTTAATTGACAATAGCCCTGCAGAAGCCATTGAGAATTCCGTTACTGATCTCCAATTCACCGAAGGCGAATTCGCTTGAATTTTACTTTGTTATTACACTGCTTTTGATAAATATTAATAATTGGCTTTATATTCAACTAATGTGTACACCAATGGAAGTGTACTTACAATATAATGTTTTAAATCAAGCTTTATTGCTCTATTTTTCTTTGGCAACAATTGACAGAGCGAACAACACATACTTAAGGTAAACTAATTAGTAATGGATACGCCTAAATGGTGTACGCTTATTAAATGAAAGCCAATCAAGTTAATTAGTCAATCATGACAAATTTAATGCCAGCTCGTGCAGAAGCCGAAAGAGCAAGCACTGGCAGACAGCATCAACTACAGCAAACTAAAAAGTTTACATCGAGAACGATGTTGGCCAACCAACGATAAACTGGCCAAGAATCTTGTGTACCTAATTATTCATGCCAACAAATTCCATTATAAAGTTTCGGCACTCTGTCCATTGTCCCGCATGGCCGCCCATCATAGACTACGACGAGTTTAAGTTCGTAAATTGTCCAGGGCAGTGGGCTAGGCAATTGTGACCACGCACTGAATCTCATGCATGAGCGTACATAATTCCAATAAGGCATCCCGCTACAATAGATTTTCCATGTGTGCGCACGAGCTGCACCAGTTGTCGGCCTACACCAGTTGTTGTTGTTGATGAATCGGGCGAGTAAGTTCTCATACTCGAGAGTATTTTCATTGGCCACAAGTGGTCCTAATTTTCTTAAAACTTTACATTTCACTTTTCATTTTGAGTCTGACAATTGATGTAATGCTTCAACGGTTTATCTGTCATATGCAACATGCTAAAACTCTTTGCTTTCTTTAAACGAATTCTGAAATTTTGACATTTTCCTAATAAGCCAATTCCAGATAGCCAAAAATAATGGCTTACTGGCTTTAATACTTCACTTCGTTGACACTGCATTTATCAATTGGTCCGACCACCTTAGCAACGACAAATAAAAAAAAAACTAAAACGTCAGTTTATTGTAATTGGGTCTCTGGATTTTTGACACTAACGAGTTGCAGGTGCAACTGCAATTGAACATTTTGCAGCTTTCCGAAAGCACTTCTTTGGCTGAGGTCAATTGGTGTTCAAAGTCAAAAGCGCAGCACAAGTTTTGGGGTTCAACGTAATTAATATACAAGCAGCTGCTTCACAAATCGAAGTACATGTTGTTTAAGAGGGAAGCGGTTTTCATGCACATTTTCATGCCACAACACTTTAGCTCAATGGCAGATAATAAAAAGCAAGCCATAATCGTCTCGTAAAAATCAGACGCGCACGCACACTAATGCAATGGCCGTACTCGCCGCACACACACACACACACTATCATTCTTTCTCTCTCTCACTCTCTCTGTCTCTCTCAGCTTCTATTTTTCTATCACACACGCACTCTCTATCACTCACTAAGGCAGCTTTGTGCGTGCTTTGACATAGACAATGATATCGTCAATGGGTATATGGGCAATGCCTGTTAACTGTTCGCTGTTCGCAGTGACTGCGACGACTGACGTCGCGACGTCAAGGCTTTTACAGTTATTCACACAGCGAATACACACACACAAACACGCTCTCACATTCACAAGCACTTTTATAGCCACACGTACTCAGCAAGGCTCTGAAGTGCAGGAAGCCCTCTCTCTCTCTCTCTATTCCACTGCTTCTATCTATTTCTATATCTCCTTGTGTGTGTGTGTATGTGTGTGTGTGTGTGTGTGTAGTTATTACTTTTATGAAGCATGTGATTACATTTTATTTTTAATGCTTTTAGTAAAATGAGGTTAGTACACACTTGGTTAGCGACAAATTATATTTTTTTTTGCCTGCCTGTCTGTCCTTCCCCTTGCTTGCCTGTGTTCGTATTCTATCTATGTGTTAAGCTTATGGCTTATGCAGTGAGTCAAGCAGCTTATTGAATTTGTGTATTTGCCTTTAAGAGGCTGTCTGCCAATTTGGCATGCATTACAAATGCAAAAAGCAACCAATTGTTGCCTTCTCGCTCTCATAATTGTAATTGTCTAAAAGCCTTAACTGCTGCTTACTGCATGAAACATGCGAACAATTAACATCCGTTTCCGGCATTGATTGAACTCAGCTTGCAATGATGCTAGCACAGCCACACACCAGACACACACAAATTCGCTGAATTGGTTGGCTCGGAATATGTGCAGGTTATTGTAGTTAACTGTTTGCATATTAATGACAAATAACCCACAATCAGCGCTGCACATGCCCTACACTTACCCCTCATGTATATATTATACGTTGTTGATGTGTGTGCACACACGCTGAATGAGCGATAAATGCTTAATAATATTGAGATGGATTTTCAATGGCGCTCAACGTGTGTGGAGCGCAACCCATCGGTTGCCCCCGCCAACAATACTAATTTAGAACGGACAACAACTACAAAAACAATCCCTTTGAACTCTGTAAGCCATTCGAGTGCTCGACAATTGCGGGATTTATGTGACAGTTAACTTTGCAGCAAAGGAACTCCAGAGTTTACTGCTCACAGCTTGTTGTCTCTGTGTGTGTTTGTGTGTGTTGTTTATACTTTCGCGGGTATCTGCACTTTGTGCAGATACTTCATGGTGCGTTAAATGAACCATTTAAGTCATCATAATCGTAAGTTCAACATGAGACTTAAAGATGCATGCGATTGTATTGCAGCAATTACTAGCTGTAATAAAAATATGAATAAGGCAGCACCTATAAAATGCACAATATTCAACCCAAAAATTGAAATAAATTATCTACGCTGTGTCAAATTAAATAAACATCTTCGATTTTGAGACTTTTGCCAAATGTCTGCAATGTAAATTCTCAAGTTTTCGACGCGAGTAGTTAGTGGAAAGTGTAAAATCGGAGGCCAGATTATGATAGGTGTTGAAAATATGTGAAAGATCAATACAACATTCCGATTACTAATGTTAATAACAGAAAATATCGATACTGCGATCGATACCTTAACTTAAGAATACATTGAATAAATTTTCTTAGTCTAACCGCCAAAACTAGTGCACCACTTTTGGCCGCTTTAAAAACCTAACAATAGGAAACATAATGAAAATTGTATTCAGCTGACTAACATGCCATTTGGCTGATTTATAATGATTCATAAAATATATATATACAATATGTAAATAAATCATAGGAAAATACTTCAATCCAATAAAAGTGAAAGCTGTATTGAATTAATTTTAGAAGTCTTAAGAGATAAGCGGTTTCAAATAGAATTTGAGCTTTTATTTTATAACTGTTACAGATGCGATGGATTTATGCAGATTTAGTAGTCTTGGGGCCTATTGTGAACAAAGTATAATGAATGGTATAGAGAATTAGGTCAGATGGGAGACGAGCATGCTCTAATGTCCATTTTGGTGTGTTTGTGTGTGTAAGGAGAACAATTGCTATGGCATATTTATAGATTTATGCTCAATAAGCAGCACATGAAATCCACTCTTCTTGTTGTTATTATCCATGTTCTTGCTGTTCTCGGTGCTGTTGTTTTCGACTACTGTTGTTTATATGTCCGTAGCAGAGCCACAAACTCAGTCAGCATTTCCAGAATTTTATTTGTGAGCCTTTTGCTGCCTGTGCTCGCAATGCTCCCAACGCTCCAAACCAACGAGCTCAGCTCTCAATCCACAGCAGTCAACAACTACAGCTACTTTGGTCGACTGCCAGAAAAGGGAATGTGTGCAAATAATAAAAAAGAAAAACAAGAAATGCTGGGCAATATTTCAAATTCGTGCTTTACGGCCGGAGACGTCTTAGCTGTGCCGGGCTGCTGCCGCTGGCTTAGCTACCCTTCCGGTTGACGTCATAAATTATAAACAAAATGGTCGAGCTGAGCTCAATGCCGAGCAGCACCTGATTTGTTTATTTGTGGAGCATTTTTCACATTTACGACAGTTGACAACGCACATTTGCCGGTCTCTAGTGTCTGCCACGTGGAAAATGCTGTAGGCACAGTTTTTTAATGCGACAATATTGGCAATGTGATGGATCCTTAGTACAAACAAGTCCTGTCATTGACTGACTTTCAATTTGGCAAACTGTAATGCCGCAGGCTAAAGCCATTCGACAAACTGACATACTACAATAATGGATATTTGCCAAAGCCACAAAATACCCCACCTCTACCACAACAACAGCAGAGGAACCTCAACACATTTAATTGCAATATAAATATTTGCCAGATTCTCAACTGAAATATCCTCAAAAATGCCGACGCATTGTGCTGCTGCTGCCAGTGCACGTATTTAATTATTTGCCAAGTAATTGTGTGCACTGTAATCTAAGCAAAAATAATGCCACCCACATTGTCGCACATTGGCATTGACGCGGGCAACATGCTGCCCCATCGTTTTACCACTAATTGACAATTATAACTTGTAGTCAGATTGTTGTATGGTCTTATATCTGTTTGTTGTTAGTTGTTAAGTCTTTGAAAAATATCCAATTCAAAGCAGTGTTTAAAATCAGTCTCATTTAGCTGATAAATATTAAAAATTGGTTAGATGGTGTTGCACATTTGGAGAGAAAGAAGTGGAAAGTTTCTTGCACTCCTCATTAATTCGCAAGAATCAATGTAAGCATTTATTAGTTTGCTTAAGAAGATTACACCAAGCATGGCTCTACGATCAGAGGCATAAAGAAGATAAATTAATAAAAGTCTAATATGTTAACTAAATAAGCTGTAATTATTGTGCCAGTTAAGACCGCAAAGGGCATACAGCTGAAATGGTTGTTGCACAGGTTATATTTCATGCCGATGAACCTTATCATTGGGAAAGCATATACAAGATCCATATTTAAGAATGGGAACTTAAGTCACATACGTGTCTTTTCAAATCTAAGCCTATTTTTTGTGATCGTATTGTAAAAAGTCTCTAGGTAAATAATACCTTGACATCTACAAAATCTACAATTCTATCTAAAGTAACTTTAAGCTATGGAGTGCATTTAATATGCGCCAAATTATGAACGCTTTACTTTTTAGTC